GTAAAATTTACTCCTTAATTTTCAAATAATTTATACTAATAAAGATGTAGAGGGCAGATATGATTTTAAAATGCATAATGCTTGCCCTAAAGCTTGGCTGAAAGAATAGGGGGGAAAGTGCATAGACTGAGAGCGGAATCATTTATTGAAATTGTTGCAATACAGTCTCTGTGGTATTTCAGAAAATGTATATGCAGAAGCCATTTTTTTTTGTCAGCAGTTCTTAAAAGTGCAGAGAAGAGTTAGGATGTTTTCCTGTATCACCTTCTAATCTTTGCTAGTTTAATAGGCTCAGAGCTTTGAGCCGACTAATTTCAGGGTAGCCACTTTTCTGAGTAACTTAAGTTTTAGTCTTCTTTGGAAATGGAGATTGCTGGAAAACTAGTGGAAGAGGAAACAGACTGGCAAGATAGACCTTCTTATTGGTCGTCATTACCCAGGGCTTTCTTGTCAGTGTTCACCTACCAACCACTTGTCTCAATCCTCAGGCTCTCTCCATGCATGATGCTCTTCTCTAGTTCTGTTTAGCCTGCTTTACAAGACTGTTTGGTGGTACAGACTATTTGGATTGAGCAAACACCTCCCGCTGTGTTGTGAAGCAGTACCTGTTGGAGAGATGGCTCCTCCCCCTGGTTTATACAGCAGCATTTGGGACCCATATGGCATAGTCAGTCAGCTGGTTCAGAATGTTATCTGGAAGCACAAGAACACTAGCATAGTTTGCTAAATTTGGTAAGGGCTTGCTTGGTATCTACAGGAATTCTCAGGGCAGTATCCAATGGGGCACATATGCCCCATCAGTTCCTTTTGCAGCCCACAGCTTTTGTTGCACAAGTAGTGGGTCCTGCTGGTTCTGTTGTGCAAGGGAGACTCAGCACTTGCACAATAAAGTGGTGGTGGTGGTGGTGGTGGTGATACTTACCAGAGGTAGGCCTGAGACAAGCAGAAACACTTGCTTCTGAGTCAGAACAGGATGTGTCTCATCCCAGAATCAGTTGTTTCTCATTTCTGGCTGCCCCAGGAAGCACTCACTCTCTGCAATTTCCACTGATATATTTCCAGATATCAATGGAAATTGGAAAGGCACTAGAGAATTGGACTAACTCTGAGTACCTTGTTGGGTACTGCCCTGTTATTAAAGCTTATAGGTGTCTCAGATGATTCCCAAAATGTCTAGCCAAAACTTTCTCTGTAATTTGGAGCAGAAGATGGCCTGGGACTCTTCCTGAATAATTAGCCTGAACCCTTCAAAGGCAACTCCAAGTAACAACTCCAAGTTGAAAGAGAAACAGAGAGTTCCTTCCTCCCTTGCCATGTAAATCTATGCACAGAATCGTGCTCAGTGGATAATATGAGAAGATGTAACAGGAACACAGGGACTTTTATCAACTCCAAGGAAATTGCTGTTATCTGCCTTTTCTCCGTATAAGCAACATGGTCTTTATGGAGATGAAAGAATACATCTCTTGAACAAAATTCAAAAAATGTATGATTTTTAAGGATCACGGGATGATCTACTGGAGCTTGTAGGACTTTGGTTGGTTTGGCAGTGGGGCTGAAGAAGGTGCTGAACTGTCTACCTCTTGGCATTTTCTTCAATACACAGCAACATGAAGGTTAATGATCTGTGTGTCTTCAAGCCCATCAGAAGAAATCTTGCTTAAGATACCTCAAACTTTCCTTTGCCTGGCCTTGGAATTATGACAGGACCAGTAAAGATAAGTGATGTGGCCAGGACACATTTGAAAGGCACAGACATATAGCCATTTCTTTTTTCCTGTCCTTACTTGCCATGATATTCTCTGCTCTTAGAAATGGTGGACTGCAGATGAGCTTCAGCAGAGTGACTGTGGTCTTTACTTCCAATTGTGGTGGTCATTACTAAAAACTCTTTTGCCCTGTTTGTTCCATATTGCTATACCAGTTCCACTTTCTCCTTCCAGAGCTTTCCAAATATGCACCTGATAAAGCATCCGGAGTTCCAGTGTGATTAGAATCAGAGGTGTTATAGATCTATACTCCTTGTGTGGCAGTTGCTGAAGTGATATTCACAAATGATATTAATTAGAGGCAATTAGTAAAGTGGGAGTGTAAGAAGTGGAGGAGGGTGACTCAGAATAGAACTGTTATGTAGAAATGGGAGTGTAAAAATATTGCAAACATTAATAATATGCTAAAGTAGCAGTTAGAGATGTTGGATTGATGCCATGAAGACACAAAGCCCAAGGAACTAGTTTGGTGTAGTGATCAGAGTATTGGACAGGGACTGGGGAGATCTGGGCTATGATCTCCGCTTGGCCATGAAGCTCTCTGGGGGACTTAAGGCCAGTCACTGACTCTCAGCCTAACTTACCTCACAGGGTTGCTTTGAGATAAAATGGAAGGGAGGATTATATATGGTGCTTAGATTCCTTGCTGGAAAAGGGGCAGGATATAAATAAAATAATAAAATGAAGATGCATGTTAATTATTGTAAAAATGAGAAGTTTGTGACTGATAGTTGCATGTTGACAAAGCATCAGAAAAGCCCTTAGAAGTTCAACTCAAAACCTACAAATATGGCCAATTTATGCGTCATATTGTTACTCATTGGATTCCACTCACCCATTCTTTCTCCTAGTTCTTTTTTTATGCTTCCTGGTATGGACAGGAGCTGCAATACCCTATTGCAGGGGACTCTGTTGTGCCTAGACAAACATAATCAATTTCTCTGAAAATGATGCAAGGAAACATGATGCTGTTAGACTGTTAGAGCTGTCAGTCTCAGGAAAGCAGATCCTTGGCTACCCTATGCAATATGTTCTTAAGATTTTCAAAGGAAGAACAAGATACAGCTGTGATTAATGAATGCTTGCATATTTTTAAACAGTCAAACCATAAGCAATCACTGGGGAATGAGTGTAGTTTGGCAGTAGATCCGGTGCCTTGAATGCATCATGTTCCAGGAAAATTCTCAACTTATTCAGGTAAAGAGATGTCTGCTAAGAGCATTAGAAGATACCTCCATGGAAGCATCTAATGGATCAGGTGATCCTGGGATAAGATGGAACAGTGGCCATTTTCTTTCTAAGGCAGCTTCATATACCAGTGCATTAATTGATTGGAGCAGGGACAGCCTCTTAGTGATGTCTGCATGTTTGGGGTGGTGCCCCTGCTTCCACATCTGGATAGCATGTTGATGCTGAGCTCCAAGGTCAATATTATTACCACTAATGTCATGGCTTGCATGGAAGGTGTTGGCAGAACTTGGAGTAACCTGTTTACATGTATGCATCTAATGAAAGAAGATTGATTCCTGCTGAAAACAGTAACTCTTGTCAAACTGCATTAATGTCACACTGAGCCAGTGGCTTAGAGCTGTGGCAGTTAAGTGCTTCTAATGCATTTTACATTAGCAGTGGTTATGGGGAATCATGATATCTTTATGCTCAGATTCAGTTAACTGTATCCATTCCTTACGCTATCTTTTTTTTCTTTTTTTTCTTTTTTGGTATGTACCTCTCTCCAGGAATTTGCAAACTAAACATGCTGCTTCTTTACATATCTTTTTGTGTAACCCTCTTGTGATAGCATATTAGAAAACTGAGCAAATATTCTAGTGTTGTTTTTTCTAATTTTGCTAATATTTGCCCTTCTGAACACTTTGTTCTTCTCCCTATCACTTTGTCCTGCTTTGCTTTCATGTACTCACACGTTATCTTGCAAGGCTTGGCTATGCAGTATCACTGGCCAAACAGAGCTTGTTTTCTTATGCAACGTATCTAGATGTTTCTGCATTAATGCCCCCTTTTATGGCTTACACGCTGAGAAGACATGGTGTCTCATATGAACTGGATGCTCTGCTACTATACTCTCAATTAATGAAGTTCTACTTTAATTGAACTTTGTTGCTTATATGGGAAATGATTGTTATGTTTCCATCTTTCTCAACACACATAACATGTTCTTGTCCATTAAGTTTTTTGTAGGTAAGTATGATTACATAAGGGGATGGAGGCAAGAGGACATGAATATTGCTTTTTCTACTAAGGAATGGATGATTGATAAATGTAGTACTGTAACTTTCTTTCAAATTAATATAAATAAAGGAAGGGTTTCAAACATCTTACTCTAATAGCCATGTAGACAATGCAAACTGAAAATTTCTTTTAAAGATGGTTGAGCCGCTTTGGACTATCTTTCCAAAAGTATTAGTGTTCCTTGCAATCTTGCTGCAGTCTTGGAAATTCTTGGAGTGGGATGGAGGTGGAGTGCTAGATGGTTGAAAATTCCAGCTTTCCTCCAGCTGTGACTTGTATCCTCCCTAGCTCAACTCCCCTCATGTGGGAAACAGGATGGGGCAGCTGCCAGAGGAGAGCTGGGGCACAAGAAGAATGGAGTCAGGGGCCTGTGACTGCCTCCATTCTATCTATAGCCATTCATTCCCAAGAGCTCACTCAACGGAGCATCCCTGATTCAAATCTGTGTCCCATCCATCACTGAAATAATATATGCTGTGACAAGATCGGAGGAAAGCTCTAAGTGGCCCAGCGTTCCTTCTCCTTCAGGATGCTGGGCTAGATGTTACAAAGGGGCTCTCAAGGAATGTACGAAAACCCTGGGTAAGCACTGTGGCCATTGTCGCTGGCATCTGGCACCCCCTCCCAATTGTATCAAAGCTCTTACAGAAGCCTTGATGCAATGACTTACTTTTGTGTAATGGCCCCCTGTATTTCCAGACAGTGAAGTGCTGTGCTGCATTTCTTTTGTGCCTCCATATGTTTTGAGGCAGTTGAGTTTACTTGTCTTTGAGTCAGCAATGTACTCTGTTGACATTAACTTGGGAGCAACTGCTCATCTTCACTGCGGCTGAGATGTATCATCTTGCCCTTTCTTCTCTGGGCAGTGAGCACAGCATCTTGCCCTTGCTGCATTAATGTTATCCTGGACTGAACAGCCTGTACTCTCAATTTACTTTCTTTCTTAGTATTGGCTAACACACTTGCATAGTAAAACTCTTAATGGGTCATGCAGCAAAATCTTGGATTAATGAGTTCGACTTGTTCATGAAGCCGGTTGCTAAGGTTGGTGGCCAATAAAAAAAGAACATTCTGACCTTGCTTGAGTAGGTTGTGGTTAGTTCCTTGCTTGAAGCAATTTGCGGAGTTGCTGTTGATAAAAATCACTAACATAAAGCTCTTCAAATGTGAGGAACCCCATTTCATGTGCTATAAAGGTCTCTAAGTGGGTTTTATTAATGCTTTTTTACTAAGCACGGCTTCTAATAGGGCGCTCAGGGGGAGTGTCCTACCAGGACTGCATCCAAAGCAAAGCTGCAGGGAACCTAGGTGGAAGTGTTTCCCCAAGGTTTACAGAAGTACAGTAAAGTAAATGAAATGAAAGAAACCTGAGGTGGCAGCCAACTTCAAGATCAGCCCCTGGAACACACGCAGTAGCTCGAGAAAGTCAAGTGACTGCTGCAGAAGACACATGAAATTGGGGTTTGGGAAAGAGGGAGGTGCCCTGATTAGAAGGAATGAGTGTCTGGAATTCTGAGCAGTATCTTAAAATAAACTATCTAGTTTAGGCCTCACTGATTTGTTACTAATATGTGACTTCTGTCATGTCGATTTTCAACATATTTCCTTGGAATGTTTTTTGTAGAAAATACGAAATGCAGACTTGCTACCTTCCCTGGGAAAAATATTTTTATTCTAAAAGTTAGCTGTTTTTCTTTTAATCTTCCTTTTAATTTTCTTTTAAGTTCCGCTACCAAATCCTCTGATTTTTCTTTTGTTACAGACTGTTGCATGATGAATTACTTTATTTTAATTTTGTTTGAGGTTACATTAAGGGGATATATGGAATTTCCCTGCAGGTAGTAGGTAGGATCCAAACCTACCTGAATTACCCTGGGGGGAAGTTCTCCAGGTGGTTTTTCTTTCCTTTGGCTAGGAGACCTGACATGTCAAGTGAAGCATTACTTCTAACGCTCAACATTAGTTCCAAAATAAATTTTTCTTAAAGGCATGGAAGGTTGCTGTTGAAGAAACCCAGGTCTGACGTCCACTTGGCTTTGTGGTTGTTAGAGCTAGCCCATATTTGTAGGTATGTAGCATTATCACTGGAATCAGACTGAGTTCATATTCAAGATCAAAGTCATATCTCAGCAGTGATTGAGTGGCTGTGGAAGGGTTCAGCTGCTATGTGTAGGAAACCACTGATTTCAGGAGACTGTCTTCCTAGCAAAGGGCTTCCACTGGGCTGTGACTGACCATCTTCGCTAGCTATTGTAGTTTTCTTAGTGGACAAGAAGGGATATAGAGGTCTTCCTTTTCCAGCTGTGCCTTACTTGGGAAGTATGGTCTTTTGCTCTTTGGTGTATTCCTGTATCCTTGACTGTTCTTTGGTTCTACCTTTGGGTTTGCAGACATATTCTTTGGTCCAGAGTTATGGCTTATTCTACATCTTATGATTCTTGGCTCCTTGCTTATCCGGCACTGTTAGCTTAATCTCTAGCCATGCATAACTTTTAAATTGTGTTGTTTAAAATTATTTTTAGGCAGCTTTTAAGGGTAGAACTCTCTCAATGTGGTAAAAAGAGTTCCATTCAAAATAAGCAATACCTATTAAATAAATTCATCTTCAATTAAAATTAATAAACAATTAACTGTTAAAACCAACAGCCCTAGACACCATGATCAGGTAAGCCAGAAGGTAACCAAAAGTGGTTTATTAAAAGTTTCCTGAAGACCTTCAAAAAAGAACTTAGATAAATACCTAATGGAAACTGGCACCAGAGGTGGGGCCATCACTGAAAAGGCTTTCACCCTCGTATTAACCATCTTAATCAATGAATAACCCTGCTGATAATGTCTTCCAATCTCCTGCTTAAGTTTTTTAAATGGACTGATTCTGATACTTTGTGATGCCACTGAATAAATTAAGGGTACAGTCCTATGCATGTTTAGACAAAACAAAAAGCTGTACATTTCCCAGCACACTCCACCCAACAGCGTTGCCCAGAGAATGCTAGGAGTTCTTTCTAAACTTGAATAGGATTGTGTTAAATGGGTTGTGATTGCCACTGTACCAACATGGAGTTTCAAGGAGAGATTATGCCACTATTGCAAGTTTGTAATTTGAACACTGTAGGTAGCTCTGCACAAGGTTTGAGTGCCAAATCTGTTGTTGCAGTCACTTATTTCCCACTATCAATGTAGAACTTTCTATATCCAAAGTAGTAGCTCAGTCACTCTATAGATGACAATTTTTGTAAAGTTGTAGTAAGCAGCCTCCTGACTGAAGAGACTACTTCAATGATAACTTTATTGTATACTTAAATGCTTTGGTTCCATACTTGTACTGATCTTCAGAGCCATATGTTTATATGCTTCAGACAAATTAATATCTTGATGACAATTCTTAATGTGCTGGTAACCTTGTACTAGTAACGGTGTAATTATTTTTGCCTGATTCAGAACTGCAGTAAACCCAGTGTATCCCTGGCACATTCTGAGGAAGCCATGTGTTTGAAATCTTAAAAGTTCCAATAGCTAATTGCAAAGCAAATGCGTAGCATCACCCTTAGAGTGACACTATTCAGAACCCGTTCTTCCAAATGGGTTTTCCTGTTCTCCTACTGCCTTTATTGCATGTAAGTCATGTACACATAGAGAAGTTTCCTTTATTCCTGTTGAGCACTCTTTTGATAGGTTTCCTTGTCTATGCTTTACTTAACTTTATTTATTTATTTAGATAAGAATGGCATTCCAGCAATTTTAAATTATGCTTGCCCGTTTATTCAGTGGCGGCATGTTCACATGTACATAAGTTTGCTTTCATTATAGTGATAGAGTTCCTTAAAGGTGGTGGGGAGTTTTAAGGCTCTCCATATATTGTGTCCCGTAACTCTCACCATCACTAGCAAGGATTAATTATGGGGAGGGATGACGGAGTTCTGGCACAAACATCTGGAGGGTGGTTGGCCAGTGTTTATGCCCTGGGTGGAAAAGTATAATCTGTTGACAGAAAGGGAGCTTGCCTACTTTGGTCTGCTAAGAACAGCTCACCTTTCACATGGAACGTTCCAGCTAAAATTCTAGTTCCGAGAGAAAGTAATAAAGATTTTGTTTGGGATAGTTTTTAGTTTTTCTTGGGAGCTGATATAAAAAGTTCTTTAGTCCCTGTAGAGTAGACTGAAATTTGTGGACTCAAAGACGTTTTAATTGCTTTATTAGATTACAGGAAAATATTTTTGAAGGCTCATTATTCATGTTTGCATATCTGTAGTGTGATACTCTCAGTGAAGAACTTTGTGTTTAATTTGATCAATGACCAGAATTGATTTGTGGCTGCGCTCCACCATTGTAGTTGCCAAGCTTGCCTTTTGCCTGGGCTGGTGGCCTGGAGGCCACTGAAGGGTTCTGCAAGCTAAACAGGCAAATCAGGCATTGGTACTTGGACAGATGATAAAGCACATCAGGGGAGGAGCTGTACAAATTGAGGAGCAAGACCAGAGCAATCAGCTTTGTAGGTCCAATGGGATGCTGCTGGCTCCTTGGTTTCCCTTAATTTCTGGTGGGGTATAAACTGTCATGCCTCTGTCAGTCTGTCCGTCTGTCTGCAAGAGTGGCACTTCAGAGCAGCTGGATTAGACTAGCACCTCTTGATCTTTGCAACCCATGCCGAGAACAAAATGCCTTGATTTTTCCTATCAGAGCACCCTGTTTGAGGACCCAGATTCCCTACATCTAGTTTCTTCACTATGTATTTAGCAAGAGATGTATTGACTCCATATATCAGCAGGCAATTAATATTAGTTGGTGGCATGATGCGTTACTGAAAAGGTGGGGATTCTGGCACTGACTTGTCTTACAGGCTCTTTATCTTATATATGCTTATCTGCATGTTGCATAATGGGCAGTGTGAGGGCCGGGGGCAAAATGAGATATACACCTATTCAGGCAGCATCTTTTTAATGCAGCATTATGTGAATGGAAGGCCGTGTGTGCCCACGGAGGTTATCCACACAGACAAGCTCTAAGTCTTCCCTTACCAGCACGTTCCATTCTGGCTGAACCTTGCCTAGGACTTTCCACAAGGAGGTTGTCCCAGCATCCTGCATTTGTAAAGTTTGCCTGAGCCAGGCAGGTGAATAGAATAAAATGCCTTTCTGTTCGATCATCCATTAGCAAGCTACTTTCTGGCTTGGGAGTAAATCTTAGTACATGCCTTTAAAAAAAGAAGCAGCAGCACCAGCCTTTCTTCTTCTGCCTGATTCCAGAATCTTTTGGCCGAGAAGGTGGAACAACTGATGGAATGGAGTTCAAGACGCTCAGTCATCCGGATGAATGGAGACAAATTCAGAAGATTTGTGAAGGCCCCACCTCGCAACTACTCCGTGATTGTGATGTTTACGGCTCTCCAGCCGCAGAGGCAGTGTTCTGTTTGCAGGTAAATTATACCCTAGGAAGTAGAACTGTCTTCTCCCCTTTTGTCTCCATTTATTTATTTATTTATTTATTTATTTATTTATATAAAAATAAAAATAAAATCACTGAAAGAGTTCCTTCTAGGACTCACCAAGACTCATCTAGCTGATTTCTGGTGCGGATAATAACTTCCCTCTAACCTGTTTCTGTGGTATACAAGTTAAATGTTCATTTATTAATTGCCTTTTAAAAGACCCATTTATGAATGGCTTGTTACTTTTAGTGGAAAAGTCATATAAAAAAACCTGAAAGTAAAGACTTCCAGTATTTCACAGATTGGTTTCTGCTGTCATATTTGGTACAACTTGTATCCTCTGGTAGGGTTTTTCATAACCTTCCTCAGCTGACTTGCTATGGTTTGCTCACAGTCACTGCTGAGAAAAAAATGCTCCAGAAATGCTTTTTAAAAAGTCAGAAATATTCACTTAATTTGCAGTACTACAGACTAGATCTCATCATTTCCTAATCAGTATAAATTTCAGTCTGAATAACCTGTGTCAGTTAATCAAACAAGATGCCTGGGTAGCTAAACAAGGTACCTCGGCAGCTAAAGCCCAAGCTGCTTCATAGCTTGCAGAACAATGAATATGTCCCATGGTCTTTCAGGCCAGGGGGGCATACATTCTGTGTATACATCTTGGAAGCCAGAGCCCCTTGCATTTCCTATGGCATGTTTATGAGATCAGCGAATTTTAAAGGCTCTCCTCTATCAAAGGGGATGCCATAGGAATATGCAAGCATCCATCCACTGTTCCTGCAACCTGTCCGGCAACTCTTGAAAAGGCTCGTACCTGTGCAACATGATAATACAGAGATCTGCCAGACACTCAGCTGTGTAGAGCTTTCCCATGAAGCTATAAGCATGCTTCATATGGCTCCTTATTACTGCTGTATTCACCTAATTACTGTTGCATTCACCTGCAATTCCGTTTTAGCAGCTCAGTTCTCGGCAGGCTGCTATAGCTCCTATTCTGAACGACAGTTTGGCATGGCAGAATTGACTTGGCAAATGGAATATGGCCTATTGTTTGTTACTGTGAAAGTGTTTTATCCTCAGTAGGCTGAAGTTCAGGAATAATCAGGACAGCTTTAAATTGTTGCTGTTCCGATTATTACATGAAATAGCCAGTAATGCATTCCCTTATGTCAGCTGGTGTGTAAATCTTTTGTTACTGGGATTTAATTCTGTACAAATATTGTCATTTAATAAGAGGATGCCATTTACTGCAGTGAAAAGGGGGCTTAAGGTTCATCCTACTATATGCCATAGACCCTGAACATGTCCCATTAATTTCAATGAAATTCATTTCCAAGTAAATATTAGGACCGCAGGCTTAGTCATCTCAGCAGAATGCAGCTGGACATCTAAAATAAGAAACAATTAACTCATTGCTTCTAGTTCAAAACATTTAAAATAATTGTGAAATTGAGATCTGGCTTTGCTGGAGGGTACAATATGAATTAAATGAAATTGATGCTGCTGTACCTGAAAATAACAACAGAAAACTGAAGTCACTCAAATCACCAAGCAATTAGAAACTGGGAGTTGTAAGTATATAGAGAAGATGAATTCCTTCTGCTCTATTCAGCATATATTGTGGACTTTGCTGTGGACAACCTAATGCATCACTGACTGAAGATGTTCTACTATTTAGGATTCAGTTCCCTCTGCTATCAAGTTTTTGTTTTTTCCTAAATAATATGACACACCAGCATTTCTCAACTAAACTGTTCTTGATATGATCAAACTTTCACAAAACAATTAATCAATCAAACAAACAAACCTGGCATGTTATCTTTACTTTCTGCATGGTATTGTTCTGAAACTATTTAGTTTGTTGCATCTGTCAGAGCTGTCTGCAGGATGTTGCTTTTTTCACCTATATAGTTTGTCCTTCAGCTTTCATGTGCTTCAAATATTAAGGATACATTAATGCTTAAAAGGTTATTGTTCATTTGTTCCTGCTTTTATAAAAATCTTGAGACATATTTTTAAAGTCTTCCCTTAACTGTTTTCCTCTTCTCTGTTTCTATCCTTCTGTGATCATACCAAGTCCAGAATCCAGGTATTGAGATTCTCATCTGGATTCCATTCCCTGCAGAGAATTTTTATATCTTAGAACTGCAAAGATAAATTTTGCATGTGGGCAATGCATGTTGCAGACTCTGGAAACCAATTGAGAGTACAATTGTTGGACAGGCAGGACTTCATCACTTACATTAGATGTTTGCCCTTCCCTCCAGCAAGTCAAAGGAGAACAAATGATGCAAACTAGAAAAAATGCTTAATTTGCAGAACTTCTGGTTGCAGAGTGCTACTTTTGCACCCTTTTTTAGGGTGCAAAAGTAGGCCCAAACATGGGGCTTTAACACACAGCATAATGGTATCTTTCTTTTTGCTCCTCAAAAAGTCATCTTTAGGTCATCTGAAGTGATTCCACCCACCATGCCGCAGGCATCTGCATCAGTGAAGGAATTCAGAGTCTTGGTTAAATGTGTCCCTTATCATTAAATCTCACTTGATCATCCACAAGCTAATGATTAGTTCCATGAAATTACTTTCTCCTGTTCTGTAAGGTAACTAAGTGAAACCATCAATTTTGCTCAGCAAATATAGTAGCAAAGCTACCTGTTCGCACAAAAAGCTGCTGTCCAAGTTCTGACTACAACTGTGTGAAAGCTGGATTGAATTTGGTTCAAATAAACTGGATGAAATTAGAAAATGTCTCTGTGAGATCTCTGGAAGTATATTACTCATCTAGCTGTAATAGGGTCTAATGTAGGATCAGGCTTTTCTAGGTCAGTTCTTACCAGTATGCCTCTCCACCTGTTCTTTCACCCTCTGATTCTTTTTGTGTGGCCCTGTGGCCTTTCCCTGTAAATCTCTTTTTCTTTGGGCCTTCTGAGGTTTGCACTTTACTGATCTCTCTCTGTGTTTGGCTGCAAGATGAGGGTTGAGGTCTTCCTTCTGTGTGACAACATGCTGGGCTTGGAAGCTTTCCAGATGCCCTGAAGACGATTGCAACCACAAGGCAAGTTCCAGTCTTCCTCCTCTAGCTTTGAGAGGCAGGGGAGTTGCTCCTGCAGTGGAGTGTTGGAAAGGCTGAGAAAATAGTACAAAGTATGGGGATTTGCCCACACTCCAAGATAAGGGTGGGGGACTGCCCCAGTCATCTTCTAACCCTTGATGGAAATCTGAATTCACCAAGCTATCTTGCCACTTTTTAATTATCTCTGGACAAGGAGCATGGAAAGTGGACATTCCACTGCTTTTTTTTTCCGGGTATGCCAGGAAAAGACTAAAAATCATGGTTGCTTTCCAATCACTTCTGAAGATAGTTTGCATCCTCCAATATCTCTGTCCATTTTCTGCTTCTGGAAAAGCATAGAGAGGTCTCACGTGAAGAACAACTCACCAGTGATGTGCTGTTAAGTATTTTCATGATCCCCTAAACCCAGCCCAGCGTTTTGTGAGCGTATCATGTGAGTTAACTGATCATATATGGAGGGGAATTGCCATATGGTGAGTGACGGCCTTTCTTCTGGTGTACACAAACCAAACTTCACACATCTAGAATGATCCCATTCATGGCTTGTTGCATCCTCATTGCACACAGTAAGGTACAAGGCTAGCATGGAGCTCACTGGGAGCAATGCGGAGCCTGCAAAACTAAAAGTATGAAATAAGAGCTGAAGTGGATACATTGAATTCATGCTAAAGGTGAGCATGTCACTCTCTAACAGCATCGGGAATGCGTTGAAGGGTTATGTGGCAATATTATTTCTAAGAATTCATAACTACAGTGCAGCTTTCATCTAGAGAAAATCAAATATTGGGTAAATATTGTAGAAATAGCTGGTAGAGTGGAAATATAAAAGAGGATAAAAATTGGTGTGCCCTCCTGCGGTTAAAGTACTTTCCCATGTTAGGAATCAATTGCTACCTTTTGTACCCTTTCTTCATGCAAAGCATACAAGACCTCAAACAATCAACTTGCTTTCCATCATCCAGACAGATGCCTGCATTACATCTCTGCTGATTCCCTTAATCTCAAATCCTATAAATGCGTTCCTTAACACCAAAGCGAGAACAGGTCCCCATTGAATGTAAATCTTCTTTCGCTAAAAGTTGCCCAATGAGGATTTTAATCCTAAAATCTTTATTTGGGGCTTTGTGGAAATGAGAATTTGCAAGGCGTAAATGCCAAGGGTGTGATTGAAGGAAAAATAGTGTTAACTGTTTCAGGAGGACTACAGAAATAAGCCACTAGAAAGTAAGACTGAGAAGCCTGGCCCCTTGGATTGTTTTTGGAGGCCATTTGTCTTTTTGCTTGGTTTGGTACCAAACCTGAGGGAGGTCGGTTGGGGAAGAATGGGACTTGGTACTGTCCAGTTCATAGCCACTTGGAAGTAAGCCCCACTGATTTCTATGGGACTTAGTCTCAGATAAATATGTTTTAGGATTGCAGCTGCAATATGCCCCCACTTCCTTATGCAGGCAGGCATTAGTAGAAAGCCACCAACATGCTAATCAGTAAGGGCCAGGTGTCTGCACAGGTCTGCTGATGGGTTTGTGTATCCCCGGGCAATGCTATCAATCTCCCAACTGCTGATGGGATAGGAGAAGGAAACGGTACTCACCTGAATCCTATCTCCTCTCCCTTTCCTATCATAAGTAATAGATACTATTAGTAGTAATGTGCTTGCAGTCCTGGCTAATGGGGTGAGGTTAGGCACTAATCCCCATGTGCAGGTTGTGCTAACTATAAATGTAGCTGCTTAGAGTCTAAATCAGGGTGGTCCAATTTTTTGTACCTCAAGGCCTGCATGACGACTTCGACACAGAACCTGGAGCTGCACAGTGAATTATATTTCCATATGTAAATTAAAGTGCTTGCAGTATTTTTCTTTAAATGTAATATAAGCAATATGTTTAAATAAGGGGGAAAACTGATACCAGTT